AGGTCCTAGAACTACTTCCATGTCTTGACGGACAGAATCGAGCCAAGTCTTAGGTTGCCCTCCTCTTCGACGCCTCCAGGTTGGCTCCGGCAGCGGATCGAGGACAGCATAGCAAAGTTCGTGGGGCGGACGGCGGATAATGTGCCTAAACCACCCCAGTCGTCTTTTTTGGATGGCCTAAGATATCCGCGCAATACTGTCTCAGCGAGTGCAGACTGTCTCATTCGAGGTGAAATCGGTATACTTAACTCGTAGGCAGCGGTGGCCAGTTAAGTATGGCTAACTGATGGTGGTTAATAAACCATTCCTGAATAGGTTGTATTTGTGGCTAATGCCGGACTTTCGCGGCACCTGCCGCACTCTCCTCCTACAAACTAATCTGCGCTCCGTGTCAAAGCAGAATCAAAATGACCGGAGAGAAAGCTACACAGTGCCATACACGATCTGGCACGCACACAATGCACCACATTTGTCACAGACACAAGTAGGTGGCCCGGATCCCACCTGAATGGGAACAACTCTAGTTGCATTTAGAATCAGCTTTACCAGCCTTACTTTTTGCCCTACGAGGACAGAAATATCTTGCTAGTCACGGCTTTTAGCGCGTGACGATATTTTGAAGGCCCGTTGGATTGTTTTTGCTGGAGCCCCCAGTTTTGACCTCTTTCCCCACCCTCTCTCTGTCATGCACTAGTCAGTAGGACTGTCTTTAGATGTCCTACTTGTATTCGACTTATAATAATAGCCTACTTTTACATTTTGCGGTAGCCCGGCCTTCCCCTTTTTTCGTTAATTTCGCCAACATAAGGTCGAGCTTGTCTTTTTTCGTTAAATTACGCCAATATTAGGTCAAATTCCCATCAGTCGGCTGAGCAACATTCGTTAACCAAGAATTAAATGTTTAACTACCAATTCCGTAAGACAGTTGGGCAGGGCCATAGATATTTAGGCGGCCCTATGAGACAGTCTTGCCCACTAGTCCATTGTCTGATCCGATCAGCCGTCTGATGCCGGGGTTTGGCGTAAGTGGCTGACACGGCGTGAATTCGCATCTTAACATGCTACCATATTCCCCTGCGTGGTCTCAATGTGGCTTAGTTAACACTTGCTTTACCCCACTCTGGCTCCCAGTTTGTCCATTGCACCACGTGTCGTCCTTTTCTATGGGTAATCCTCTAATGCAAACGAACAAACTTACTCTTAATATATCAGGACGCGTTGAGTTGCAACTTGTGAGTTGTCTAGTTGTCGGATCGAATTGTAATGACTCCTTCTTAGTGTGACCTTTTCGTCCCTCCTGACTTTTGTATTGCTCTAATAAGCGTGTTCTCTACATCTACATCCAACAGTTATTTCGCATATCCCAAAATAACACTGTTTTGCACCTTTAATTTCAACTTCCTTCCCCTTCCTTCATTCTGCAGAACTTTCTTGGACTGGGTCAGAATGCCACCATTGAGATTGCTTTGGATTCCCTCGAGGGTCGGAAAATGGTCGAAGTCAAAACTGACGAAAACAACAGAACCCTGCTACCAGTATTTTACAATGGCGAGTCTCTATCCGGCAAAGTGACCATCTCCGTTAAGCGAAATGGCAAACTGGAATATCAGGGCATCAAAATCGAGCTGATTGGGCAAATCGACTTCTTTGCAGATCGTGGAAGCCGAGACGAATTCCTTAATCGAACACAGGAACTTGCCCGACCTGGAATCTTGTCGCAGTCTGCCACCTACCCATTCCACTTCGCGGATGTTGAAAAACCCTATGAGTCCTACGTCGGCTCTAATGTACAGCTAAGGTGGGCAAAGGATTTTGGTCGTGCTTTCCTTTCCACGTTTACCCCTTCCGTTCCATTTATTTTTTATCCCTCAACAAGCATATACACTTTTTAATGCCACTGAGACTTTGAAGCACGAACTTCATCCAGTCAAAAACAGTGTGTTGGGGGATGTAGTCGAATCTCAGACAAAAATGATATCGGATACTTTAGGGTAGTTGTTGATTTCCTGCATGGGGACGTTAGCCGTTCCAAGTCGTGCAGCATATTTTCTAGATTTCAAACTAGCGCCGCTCACTTGTCATAAGCGCAGATGTACTTGGACTTGTTACGGCTGTGACCATGCCTGATCTAGTCGGCCTCAATGCTGTCACGAACGGGACCCCTTCACACGTGACAATTGGCGGCAGCGGATCTGCTAAGCTCCATCCAGTCTCTTCTGCAGTGGCGAAGACCGAAGATAGAAGGCCCAAGAATGGCTTCCATGTGTTGACGGACGGTATTGAGCCAAGTCTTCTGTTGCCCTCCACTTCGACGTTTCCAGGTAGGCTGCGGCGCCGGGTCGAGGGCAGCATAGCTAAGCTCGTGGGGCGAACAAAGGAGAACGTGTCCAACACAACATCACCCGCCTTTCTTGAATGGCCTGGGATATCCTCGCGCTACTATCGC